TATTATTTACTTGATTCTCAAAAATGATAACATGCTACTTCAATATTTTATCTTTAGACATTTGCTCTATCTTTATCAAAATTTCTCCTTGGATTATATAATTCAATCTCTATCTCAATAACATCTTAAAAGTATTAATTTAAATCTCAAGTTCAACTCTAGTTTACCTAGAGTTAGAACTAGATTTCAATCTAGGACTTTTTATTATTCTGTTTAAAAAGGATGACAAGCCACATCTTACACTTAAAGACTTCGCAAGTTTTTCAGCAAAACCTCCTTGTATATGTGGACATAGCCTAAGAATAGCAAATCAAATATTTTTCTTTTGGCGTTACTACTCTGATGGTGTTTTCTCTTGCATTTCCTGTAACACAAGGGTATAAGAGCGGAGGATGATTGGAGGAAAACCTTTCATTGCTAAGACGTTAAAGTTTATAACACCTGGGAACACATGGAAACACCAGACAGTAGGATGCTGGAGTTGGAAGGTAATGTATTGTAACTGCCAATCGAGTCTTTTACTTTAGTGTTCCGGAGTGTGTCTAGGGGGTTACAACCCCGACCGTATTCCATCCTACGGCTTCTAGAGGGTGCGCTCGACGGGTGAGTTCTTCACGGTCGGATATGGCCTACGGTCGGGGTGTTGAGGTTAACTCCGGTTAAGGAGTAACCTCAGGTTTAGCTATTTATAGCTAGGTGTGTTGTTGGCTTTGGATATAAATATACCCCCAAGGCTTCTACTAGGCCCGAGCATTTTTCAGTATTCAGTAAAGCTTCTCGTTCACTTCAGCCGTGAACGTAGCCCTTTAGGGTGAACCACGTTATATCAGTGTGTCGTGTGTTTCTTGAATGATTCATTGTTTTTGTTAAGACGGGGATGATCTAACCAAAAGTGTTACAAACTGTTTGAGTGCAAGTGCCAAAAGTAAATCCGGTTGGACTCGACTGATCGTGGAAAAGCCATTTTGACGAAGAAGTTGATTCCTTAGACATAATTACTAGAGGGCTTTAGCAGGCTGGCTTCGGTGAAGACCAGATCTACATAATGGACCACCTCGTGGAAAAAGAAAGGTACTTCAGCGAACAAGGGATCATTCGAGATTTGGTACGGAGTCACATGTTGCAAACGATAGCACTTTTTGCGATAGAACCTTACCTTATCTTGAAGGAGAAGACATACGAAATGAAAAGGTGAAGGTTTTGAGATCTATGCGGGCATCAACTTGTGCCCATGTAGTTTTTGGCCGGTATAAAGAAAGCATCTCAAACGATGGGAAGTCCAAGATACCGGGCACCAATAGTCTTGATGCCACATTTGCGGCAACTGTATTGTAGATAGATAACTCGCGTTGGGATGGAGTCATATTTTGTTTTTGGTAAAAGCAGGGAAGGGGTTCATCAAACATTCTGTGGACAAACACAAGTCCCGAGAAATCTCTACCGTGCAAGCTTCTGATAAAATTTGGATGCAGCAGCCAATGAACTAATTGTAAGAATGCAGCCGGACCAGTCAATAAATTTGAAAGTCAACAACAAGGTTCCAGTATTTGGCTTGCAGCTAGACTCGTCAGAACTCAATATATTTTATGGTGACAAATACGACAAAGAAGTTTCAGACTCTTATGAGCGCCTAACACTCTATGGATGATTCACAAAAAAATTAACAATACATCTCATCTTTGATAACATTTACGTAATTAAACTATCATCCCTTCTTTATATCTCTTGAAGTCTTGGTTACGATTGTGTCTAGGATAAAATTGACTTAACTCTCAACTCGCTCACTTGAGCTTGTTTGCAACTATCTGGCAAACAACAATCATTTGAGAAGTAGAGCACATAGGATTCATCAAGAATCTGCACGGATTACCATAACCAAGAGAGAGGTATGTAATGTCGTTCCTTGCCACCCTTTTGCTTTGTTATCGATGGCTCCGGTCATAGCTAGAGTTTAACAGCAACTGAGTTAACTCCTTATATTCTTTACCGATCAAGTGTTTGTAGTATGTTTCTGTTGAATATGAAAAGTTGGAGTCATTACAGTTGAAATAAGTCAACCGGTGATGAAACTCCTCTCAGTTGGGAATAAAATCAAAGAATAAGGACAAAGTCATGGTTCTGGAATGGTAAGAAGCCATGAAAAATCACAAAAAAATTATCGCATAGAATATTCAAGAGTTCGACATGACATCACATGATAATTTAATGTCATGAAATGTCATGCTTGTCTGGAAAGAGAAACTGCCTTAAAAGGATGCTGAATCTGCCCAAAGTGTCTGGAGGGAAAGATTCGTTGTCATGAATTCAAACATACTCTATGAGTATACAATGATAGAAGTCATTTATCAAGACAAATATCAAGACTTACTACACTTGTCGACAAAAAACTATAAGATACTTGTTCCAAAATCTCCATCAGATCATAATGTCAACACTTTCCATTCATAAGTCTCCGCGGCCTTGTTTCAGAAGTTTGGTCCCGCGATGAATTCTTTATCGAACTCCACGATAATCATCACTATCATCACTACGGTTATTAATTCGAAGGTCGATATGCTTCTCTCGACCATGAATAAGGCTCCAACTCCCTAGAGCAGCTTTTGCTTTCTCTTGTAGTGATACATTTTGCGAGTGATGATTACCACTGGTGTTATTTGGCTACTTGTGTGTAATCGAGGTGTCCACAAATTTGATTCACTAAAGCAGCGGAAAGTGAATAATGCAAAATGACGATATGGCATAGGACTTCTTCATGCGATGAGTAAAGTTGAGAGTCTAAGAATATACTCAGTATCTTTCCTCTTTCTCTCTCACACAGACGTACAATACATCATAGCCACTAAGCATGCTAGAAAATTGGAATCGAAATCTTATATATTCTTTTCCAACCGTTATCGTCAACCTCAGAATTAGCTTGCTTCTTTGGTACAGCAGAAACGTGGACTAAGCTTTCGAGGATACGTTATACTTTTAAAGGAAAGTAATTCGCCACTTTTTTCAAAAATGAATTATTGTCGTGACTCTCTTCCAATTTAATATAATAGTTCAAGGTTACGTCTAGTGAGATATTCAAATATCTATGAGAATATCTTGAAAGTGTACTGTAAGCCTGATAAAGAGTACACCATTACTCTGAGGCAATGTACATTGTTGTTCTTGTTTATGAAGATGATGATGAGTGGATTGTAAGAAGATGTCCACGAGATGGTTGCTCGAGGTACAATAAGCGCAAGTGGTTGAGCGTACTCATCATTTTAAATTGTGCGCTATTTGCCAAAACCAACAAGATCGAATCTTACACTCAAGTCCGTAAAATGGTCCGGGAGTTTTTGTACGCTCAGATATTCCACATGGAAAAGTGTTCTTTCTCAGACAGACAAACCTTTCATCTCTACGGAACAAAATATTCCAAATAAACCAATTTACAAAGTTTGATTTCTTCTCTTTTTGGACCGTAACTATCGTCCATCCTTCTGCGAGGCTACCTCACTACCATTTTGACTATTCCAACTCATCCAAAGCATTTTGTCGCTCTTTGTGATCAGATGTTTTCCTCCATTTGAACACTGGAAACTAGTCAGCTCTATCGTTCATAATATTGATAAATCCCACAATTTTAAACTCAAGCTTTTGAAAGAAATCAAAACGCTTTATATAACCAACCACTTTGACAATATACGATGTAACTTAACGATCTGTTAACTTCTTCCGTGATTACCGATTTGTTGTACTAGTTGTTGATAGTGTCGGTAATTTGAATATTACGACGTAGAGTGCTCAGATTATGGAGGCGATATATGTGCAAGAGGCGATATATGTCTTATAGTGCAAGGACCCATATGATTTTATGGATTCATTCAAGTTTTGCCAATGTGGAATGTATTAAATTTGCACATTATGGTCACGGCACACTTTTGGCACACTTTCATAAGATGATTCCTGGAATTGAATAGGAAAACCATTCTCTCTCCAATTCATTGTAATAAAATTATGTCATATGTATCGGGAAAAAACTTCCCCCTTTCTTAAAGGTATATCTGGTTTGTGTGAAGAGTTATTTACTCAACTTTCGATTTAGAGTACATCCATCTATAAGCGAATCTAGCCTCCAACTAAGCACTGACAGCATCTAGGGTCTGAAAGAGGATTTCCATCCTCTATCAAATTAGGTGAGGCGGTTTGCAGGTATATTACATGTTTTTTTGGAACCCAAAAAATAAAAAATGCAGAGTGAACTTACCGTGCATTATCTTTTAATATTTTCGGACCGACCAAATATCTTGGATTAAGGAATGTATATCAAATAACGTATGGCGGTTTGCAGGTATAACACCCGTTTTCTTAGAACCTAGAAAATAATGCAAAGTTGCCGTGCATTTTTTTTTTTAATATTCATAAACCAACCAAATATGTTGGATCAAAAAATGTAAATCGGCACAACCTTCAAAAGGTCTCGATGACCAACCACCTTGGAAAAGCCACCACCGAAGTCTAGATTAGAGAAGTGCTACATGAAATTGAATCCAGGACTTACTTTGTAGTATAAACTAACCCACATTAGGCATAAAATGGAATATTCCTTCAAAAGATGACAACTAATGCAAGTTTACCACAACTTTGTTCATGTGTATTTTGTTGATATTTTACCCTTTCAATATAATGTAGAGTTAATGAGTTGAAGTAAAATTTCAAGGTTGTTAAAAATATATTCTACTTTTTTTCTTCTTTATCAGATACTTTATTATATATATATATATATATATATATATATATATATATAAATAAAGAAGCTAGTTTTGACATGTAGTGGACAGGTTTGGAAGAGTCCTCTGCCTCTTATTTTTCGTGAAAAGCGCTCCTCCTCTTACTTGTCGTGAAAGGATCATTACTAAAAAATCCAAACTCTGTCGGGAGGAAGCTGCTTTGAACTGCTCATCGAAAGTAATTCATACTTTATAAATACTACCGATTGTTTGAAGCCTTGATACAGTTCCCGCATCAAGCTCGTACCCCTGTGACTTCTGACTGTCTGACTTGGGTTTCAAAGATTGATGTACGGTACAGAGTTGTCGATCGAGAGGGGCGACTGCGACGATGAATGTCAGAGCTAGCATCTCTCTGGTCCACAGTATTAGCAGTCAGGCACCAACCAATAATGGAACCACCTCCTTTAAGCAAGTAGCATGGGGGAAGTCTGGAGCATCAGCTCTTTACCGGCATTCAAGAGCTTCAATCGCTGTGATATCGAGATCGAACTTGCCTCACATAGATCCACTCTCGAAGTTACGCGGCAAAATTTCCAAAATGAAACTGAGTGCTGGAGAGAGCCAAACGAAAATCTGTGCAGATCATCGTGAAGCTCGTGCAGAGGTGATCGCAGATAAACATGCCGATACGAAAGTTCCAGTCTTTGATATTTCTGGTCTGGAAGGTGCAGAGAGGAAATTGATCAGCCAGCAGATTGCTGACACTTCTGAAACCTGGGGCATCTTTCAAATCGTGAACCATGGAATAGACTCATGCTTGATGCAAGCTGCCAAAGACGTTTCGAAGGAATTTTTTTATCTGCCTGATGAAGAGAAAATGAAGATTAAAGTTGTAGGAATCGAGGGATGGAACCACTCCAAGCTAGCTGGATTCAGCGGGGAGGGCAAGCTGTACAAGCCCGGCACAGTCGAGCACTTGTACCTCGTGCAGAGCCCAGACACGCAGGAGCATCTGGAACGATATCCACGCAATCCCCCAGCCTACAGGTGGCTGCAAATTCCCTACCACACTGTAAGATGGATAGTAAGTACTTGTATAGTTGCCTTCATAGGCTTTACTTTCTTCTGTAGGCTTTACTTTCTTCTCGGTTAAGTTTTTCTCCGCTCTTCACCAGCAATTCATTTATTCGACACTGTATGACAGGTGTCTGACTGAATAATAGTATAGAATTAAGCGTCTGAGCAGTTTCTTGCATTTCTCAACTTACACACATAACTACCATAATCTTCACGGCGAATCCTGTATTCGTGTATTGTGCACATGGTGTCACCTCTGAATCAGTGGTTTTTGCGATTTGACAGAACAACGATTCTGGAGTATGCAAAGAAGCTCAAAGTTCTGCATGAAAAACTCATCACTGTTCTATCAGAAATGTTGGGATTGAAACCAGACGCGCTAACCTTAGCAATCACCACTCCCGTGGGGAACGTTACCATGAGGACGAATTTCTACGCTTTCAATGCGGACGGTAAGGGATCTCCAGGAGTTTGCCACGCTCATACGGACCCCGGTGGTCTAACTATTTTGCTTGCAGACGACGTTCCTGGTTTGGAAGTCAACAAGGACGGTCGATGGGTGCCAGTGAATCCCATACCGGGCGCCTTCATCGTCAACATCGGTGACGTACTGGAGGTAGAGAAATTACTTACACCTAATGAATCAATACCATCGTTAGAATGGATGGATTTACGAATGGGTAAACTTCTCCGTCTAGATGCAACTCATATCTGTGAAATTACCCTTGGTCTCTAAATTTACGAAATTGTCTAATTCGGGTCTAGTTAGGTTTTGAAGGAGAACGAAGCAATGCTTTTGAGTTGTAGGTATTGAATGCAGCCATAAACAGGGCTGAATCGGGTGATCACCGAATTTTACTTATAAATCTGATGTCTATGATGCACTCTACAGATACTTAGCAATGGCAGATACAAGAGCGTGGAACACAGGGGGCTGCCGAGCCAAACCGAGGAACGTCTGACTATGGCCTCATTTTACGGTGGATCACATGAGGTGATTATCGGACCGCTGCCAGAGCTTCTTGACGAGAAGCATCCTCCACGTTACCGGACCTGCTCTTTTGGCGATTACATTGCTGACTTCGTCAAGGCCGGCCTCGATGGCAAGAACGGCCTCGAGAGGATGAAGCTGTGAAGTCCACTTCGGCATACATCGGACTTTGAGAAGCGGTGTTCGTTACTACAAATTGCGTTAAGCTTGGGCGTCTCACAAGTACCTCTAAGACACTTTTGCAGCTATCGAGTCCGTAAGTGTACATAGTCAGAATGTTGAGAAAGCATGTGCATCTGTGGCTTCCACTCACCTCGTGACGAGACTGAGAATCAGCACTTCAATTTATCTGTAACTCAGCCGCTAACTGCAGAGAAGTTCTAAGAACCTGAACGCACTCTTTTCTTCTCTAACCCGCTTCCTCAGAGCTTGTATAGATGCGTCGCCAGATGCAGTGGCACATGTCCTCATGCTACCTCTGTTTCAGTGAAGGAGAATTGTGCGTGTGCGTGTACAGACTCGTCAATTTCCTGATGTGATGCACAGGGGCACGCAAAATTTCGTAAATTACTAGCCAAAACTTGAATGAAGAGCGACGAACTCTTCCGTGTAAAGAGTGCCCGCGAAGTCTCACTAAATAAAGAGAGTCTGTGTCCACAAGTGATCCCAACGTCAAACATTGTAAATCGACATCTTTGTGTGAAAGCCTCTGAAAGCAGACAGTGCTGCGACGAAGTAGCAATAAGAATGACATTTTTCTGTTCACGTAGCATGTGAATACCCGTACTTAAAGGGCGTCAAAATTTGAAGCAGATCTGTTTCTGATCATAGATTTATGGATAAATTATCTTATAATAGGGCCTTGAGTACTTTAATCAGAAGTTGGGATCGCCAAAAGAAGAAATGGTTTTCTTTGTTACTCAATGGTTTCCGTAATTAGATTTCAATATGCGCAGGTTAAAATATATATTGATGAACATGTACTACTAGTAAGTGAATTATTTTTATTAGATCCAAAGAATTGATTATTAATTTTTTTTAATTGAATAATTATCTCTCACTTAAGCCTAATTAACCTCGCTTTAGGCTAATTAACCCTAAGGATTCATCGAAATTTATAGGTGTCCGTGGAAGTCATGGTTTTTCTAAAGACTTCGTGTTCTTCTCGTTGGCTTGTAACGCGGCGGACGTGGATGCCATGCTCTCGACTCCTGCGATGGGAGGGGTCAAGAAGTACTCTCGTTGCGTTTCCAAAGCCGGAGCTGTGGGCCCACGATCCGGGCCCCGTGCAGCCGCTGGTCTCTCGAGGCCTTGTGCGACTATTGTGCGCAAGATTTCGCCTCATCGTTCGCCACTCGGATCCGTCTCTGGTGAGTGAGCTCGATCGCAACTCCGACTGCATCATTCTGTAATGGCAACTCGTGGTTGATGCAATTTGACTGATCGATTTGATTTCGAATTTGCTGTACGCGCGAGGCGATTGGAGAACTCATTGCGTGAATTTGAGAGCATTGGGCGAGCATCAGGTGAATTTGGTGCGTGGGATGCAATACGGCGACCGCCGTGGGGGCCACGGCTGTGATGAATCCGCTCAGCTGGCGGGTGGAATCAGCTGCTGGTTCTCGCAGTCATGTGGATGTAAGGCAGAGGCTTGTGCCGCGATCGCAACTGAGTTTTCTCCCTTCCTACTTCGCCAGGATGCAAGGGACTCGCTCCCTCCAGTCTTCCAAGAACTTCGAGTTCGGAGGTGCTGAGCTTTTGAGGTGGAAGAAGGCCCTCTTCTCGACAACTTTGCTTGTGCCTGCGCTTTCTACTTCTCGGAGTGCGGTGAGATTCCAGATACGTTCCAATTCAAGTGACACCAAACAGGCCACGAACTTTTGATAAATAAATCATGGCAAGCGTGACATGGTTCACGAATGCAACGGAGAGGAACACGAACGCGTTATAAGAACCTTCCATTTAATTCCACTGATAACTTCTGACGAATCCTCGCACACGGTATGCGAGGATGAGGGATAACTAGCCCTTTACTTATTTTATTGCTATTGAAGTTCTGACTTAATACAAATTCATGAATTCGGAACGACTTTCCTTTACGTACTGACTTTCCTGTAAACTTCTGATATGTCAGACCCACAACAAAAAATTTCCATACCTAACTTAACAAATTTTTAAATAATGGCGCAACTATTATCTTAGACAGTCTAAGAACTTCCATTAGTCTTCTATATTTATTTTTTAGCAATAAATTTTAACGTGCTTACTGATTCTAAAACCTGATTGTAACGTCAGGTGAAGCCACGTGACTTCGTCATCCAAAAAAACTCTAGGTAGCCGATCACCCGTATTGAAAAGAAAGCCTAAATTCCTAAAAATCATGGAATCTTCGAGAAAAAGGCCTATGAATGATCTATAACCCAATACATTAACCCTGGTGCAATGGTATCTCGTGCCTAGATCTCACAACACACGCCTATTAAAATTTTATGAAAAAATAAAAAATAAATAAAGAGCAATTGGCCAGCTCAAATAGCTTGGTTGAGAGTAAACTTTACGCCGTAAAGTACCAGTATCAGATACATACTGTTTCAACTTCGTCAACAAAAAGTCCAATCAAATGACGTTCACTTCAAACAGAAACTGACTTCAATATGGGTGATCGGCTACCTAGAGCCTTTTTTGGGATGCGAAAAAATCCGAGAAAGACTTTGGAGCGTGAGGACAAAAGTTAAAATGTCATGCTGTCGTCTCTGGAGATACAGGGGCCTGATTTGACAACCTTGGCATGTTGCCTCGAACAAGTTTGGGCTTCAGAAAGCTCCTGCTCTTGAAGTGTTTGTACTATTAAACATATTGTACTATTGAGTATAACAAACCTTTGTCAGTTTTTCTCCCCAGAGGAACAATTCGACAGTCTAGCGGAGAGTAAGTGGCTGCAGTTTGTGTCAATCCAAGTATAAGATATGGAGATAATAATCCCTGCGATAAGACGAATTCACGTGGCTTCAGATATCGAAAGCATCATGTAGATAACCAGACAAAAGTAAAGGACGAATCTTCATGAGCACTTGTTATTTTGAAAGAAGAAAAGTGGGAACCATTTTTTTTCTATGTACATGAGAGCAAAATCGATGTCATATGAATATCATTAATAATATAGTCATGTTGCTGTTTTATCTAAATTCCGAACCTCATATATTATTTCTTATAGTTGACGTGCTCGTGAATGGTCCCTCTTATCTTTGACATCACTTCTGCTATCAAGCACTGAGAAACATTTTTTCGCTACACTAACAAAGTTTTGCACTTTCATAGATTTTTTTTGAAAAAAAAATTCAATGCATATTTTTTCTGGTTTGAATGTTTTCTTACGAAAAATCAATATGATTCTGATGTATCTCATTCCAGTATAAGCCCAAAAACAATGAAAAAATATATTGTGGAAAGAAACACTTTCTTATAATCTCCCAAAAAAGTGTGTTTCATGCCATCACTTTTCAACACTGCTCAAAATTTCTTTAAAATAATTTTCTGTCTTTGATATTGTTTCGTTCATAGATTAAGTCACAAACCTGAAGAAGGTATACCATCATATTCTATCAATGAAGACTTCTGAAAATTCTTGCATTCGAAGGTTCACTCGACTTTTGTTCAATTGAGTTACTCCCTCTCGTTAGGAAAATTTGAACTTTTATCATGAAAAATTTCTAATTAAGAAATAATGTCATTTGAATGTATACCGTAATTTCAGATTTGATATTTGTGATCATGTTGTTCTAGTCTCACTAGGAATTCATGGATTTATTCTCACGATGTGCTTTAGGTGGCAACAACTAAAGAGTTCTGAATAGCAAGTGATCCTAAATATAAGTTCCGTAAAGGAGATCCTAGATAGTCTCAGGACCAGCCTCTAATTTCTATCAATAGACCGCATCTGCTAGAGTCTCAGACGGATGGAAGCAAAGATAGTCGAGAAGTTATTGTTGACCCGAAAAAATGAACACCACCAGAACGAGTCAAAAGTTGGAAGATTTTATTTCACGGTCTCTTTGATTGATAACGTAGATAAACTTTAGAATGAACTTCCAAGAAGTTCATTCTAAAGTTGGTCACATATATTTCCCTGCCCGCTTTCCCCTGGTCTCAACAGAAGGAGTCACGAAGTTCAGTTTGACGCATCCGAATTCAACCTAGCAAAGACATGAACAAAGACTCTTCAATATTACTTATTCAAGCATGATGAAAGAGATTTAAGAAGAAAGACCACTTTAAGTCGAAAGACTGAAGGTGCTGCGCTAATCAAATGAAAATGTTATGTATTATAGGCCCTGGGGATATGTATATATATCGGGAGGAAGCACTCTGTACCTCATGCAGCCAGATCAGTTCTATTGGCAGGAGAGGCATCGGCCAGTCTTCTGCAGAGACGATGAAGCCCATCATGGTGAGCTCTGATTCGGGGGACAATGGGGTCGTCGTCTCCGGAGACAATTACTTGAGGAAGCTCCGCAACAGATACTTGAAGTTCCTGGAAGATATGTCTTTCAAGAACACCAAGGAAGATGCAAGTTATGAACAGGTCGATGAGATCTACGATGCTGTGTGCAGTCTGCGACAAGTGCAATCATTACCCGCCGAGGTGATTAGAGCATGCTGTGCATATGCGGACGTCGTATCTAGGTACGATACGTTCGAGAACAAAGTCAAAAATGCCCATTTTACCGCTGTGGCTGTGGAGATTGACAATCTGTTGAGCAGTGCTACCATGCGCTCGATGCCTGATGATGGAGCTCGCATGAAGGAAGACTGTGAATTATTTCACATCAAGCTCGTCAATCCTGAATTGTACAAGAAACTTCATCCCACTCGTGGACCTTTGCATCCTGTTTTCGAGGAAATGATCGCGATCCTGCAGACGGACCTCAATCCCTTTTTCCCAACGCACCCACGACATCACAAGACGTTGATCGCCGCAGTTCTGCAATACATTGAAGCGTGTCAACTGGAGAACGATTACACAGACAGTTCGTTCGAGGTCCAGGTTGACATGCCTCGATTTCCTCTATTCCTACGAGAAAAATCTGGACTTTCTGAAGGGTTCATTCTTTTCATCGTCACTGCGCCTCATCTGGTTCCTGGGAACTATGCTTCCGAAGATGTAAGTTCAGATCGCACTTTCTTCTACAACAAGGTTTATCCGATGTTCCCGGAGATGTTTGCAGCCTCCGGCCACATCAACGATATCATGTCTTTCTACAAGGAGTGCGAGGAGGAGGAAGATGTAAGCGGAACGAATTACATTTCCAGTGTTGCAAAGATTAAGAACATCACCGCTTTGGAAGCCCTTGATGATCTCATGAAACAGGCCGTGGAGATCCGCAAGAATTCGATGGCTATTGCGGAGAGGAGCGGTTCCATGGAGGTCCAGAGGACCGTTGCTCAGTACTTTCAGGGCCTTATTTCCTGGCACATTTCTTGGGAAAGGCGTTATAGGCTTGGGGAGGTACTTGGTGACGATTGGTTCCAAGGTGATTTCGTTTAATGCACAAGACGTTCTCAGATCTTTTGGAATGCATCATGTTTGCGTTGAAAGCAGATGCCACTCGTGTACGGTAATATGCAGCTCGCAAATCTCTAGCAGGATGCGTGTTGTTGTAAAGTCGCCAGAGAATTGTATTCAGTGGCTCTGTACACTGTACTTCGGATTAATATAATACTCACAGCATATTTTTCTCAGTCTAGCTCATACTCACACTTATAAAAAAGACACAAGTCCATCATCTACTGTTTATAGTCACTTCTGTCCCACGTCATATCGTCAGTATAACACAAACCATTCGTGCCAAACGTTTCATAGGTAATTGCGATCGATAAGCACTAGATATATAATACACAAAAGGGGGATCAGTTTACTTTCTTGGCATCCCGCCTTCTTCGCTCTGCTTGCATCTTGAGTTCTAGATTTTGCCATCGGATTCTTCACACTGTGACCATCACATGCCTCCTATGAATTGACGATTGGTTTGCACAGGCAGATTTTCACATCGCCGAGTTTCTCTGCAGAGCATGTCGGTTGACTAATCCATACACTCCCGTGAACCTGGTAAGGTAGAGATTTTGAAGACTACCTTATGATTCTACTCAGTTTACCTTAATATCCTATTGAGGATGAAAGCTTTCCTGCTGCAAATGTTCCAGCAAGTGAAACAATTAACTGAGACCGCAAGAGTGACATATTCATGAAAGCAATCTCAATCTTTAGGTAGTGTCAACTAAGGATTTACATTGGCTTTTGCAAAAAAAGGTGACCGAAAGCTATGCACCAAGAGTTCGGGTCTCCTTGTGATAATATCCTAAGATAACTCATGGAATTGCCTCCCTCCTGGGTGGTTGTAACAACCGCAAAGAGTTAACAGTCTTTTCTATGGTACTAGCCATAGTCAAGGGATAAGGACCTCTGCATCTAGATTGAATACTTCACCCTATCATATGATTTCACATTGTTGTAATCAATCCGCATAAAAGTATCATGTTGTTGAATCTGACATTTCATACGTGATGGTAATAACTCATCTTGCAAAGTATTTCAATCCCCAATATAAAATAATGTTAAAATGACCGCAGAAGCGCTGAAGTCAAGAATCATCTCCGGAGCGAGCGAGCTCGGCTACGGGACTCGGGCAACGGGCGAAAGCACCCCTCACTCCCCATCCCCGCCTGGCTGCAGACTCGTTGAGAAATTTAGCGGAGCCGCATCATAGCACAGTAGCTTCCGGCCTGCCATACCCCCTTCAGCTCTTCCTTCATCCTGGCGAGCTGTGTCTGTAATGGGGTTCATGGGGAAGGAGAGGAATGTACTGGAAGCTGGCAAAAACTGAAGGTCCCCGTGAGTGACGGTGTGGTCGTTTTATTATACCCCTAATATATACCCAATATAAACCTCTAAAGTGCAGGTTTTAATTATCTAGGTCTAGCATGCTCTCATTAGGTGTAAGGCAGACATCATTATAATTAGGTAAAGAGAAATAAAAAAAAGTTTTATTTTGTGCATGAGATAACAAGTTAATTTTGTAACAACACAATTGCACAATATCATCACAATTATAAAAAATTGAATAACCAAAATTGTGGAATATATTAAGTAGATAAATTGATGTTTTTCTCTTGTTCATTGATCTGTCATTTTGAAATTGAAATTTCTTGTACAAATGTGATTAGCCACAAAATTCAATGGCTTACAAGCTACGTATATTGTGGTATGTGGAAGCTTTAAATATTTAAAAAATTTGTACAAGAGCGCATTGGCAAGAATTTATGCTTATAAAAGAGATAAAAGAAAGTAGATTGCATCACTTTGTTCAAGTTCCAGTTAGTGTGAGCAGATGTAAAAGTCACGATGATTTCAAGGGTATACATACGCCGCTGATCCAAATTGGAAGCCTTGAAAATAGAAGAGATAAGATTAGATTTCCGAAGTGAAGGAGGGTTTACATTTGATCCGAACTTTGCACAAAAGTGTTATATTGCGCCAAAATTCTAAATCTAAATCAAACATTTTGATGCTTCATATGCAAATTTGAGGTAGAAGCTCTTGATTAACAAAGCTCAACATGACAACATCGATAAGAAACGGCATCAATAATTCATTGAAAATTGATTTAAGTAAAAGAAATGATATTGTCTCACAATTAACGGAAGTTAAGTACATTAAAAGTTGAAGTGATCAAAAAACGGTTTGTCATAAGATAATGTATTCTTGGAAGAAGTTGATCCTTTTTGAAAAAATATATTAACGTAAGTATTCAGTATTGTGGAATGAAAAGGCTAGTGATTGTTTATATTGACTTTTGCAGATTCTTGCATGAAGTTTTTAAAATATGCATGCAAAATTCCAAGATAAAAATGATAAGTTATATTTACATCTTTTTATTTTAATCAACATGTACTTCTAATCACTACTTGTGGTACATGCACCTAGAAAGGAAGATTAGAGTTTTGGACTTTCCATTTCACTTCCCAACGTGTCGACTCTATTTGGGCAAAGTGGTACCTTAAAGAGTTGAGAGAGAGTCCGATCATGTCACGAAACAAAGTAGTATTTTTTCGGCCAAGTACTGCTCTTTAGCCAAACATTACAAGACCATTGTGAGGGACATATCGGGTGATGTGGAGGGTTTGTACTCTAGATGGTCATTTGGTCTGCATGACCTATTGAAAGTTATATGTATCTACGAGATCCAACCTATCTTGCTCAGCTAGCTGACAAAATCCATCTTGAAACAGCCGGAAAGAAAAATCAAATGGATTGATTGATGCATGATTTAGCCTTCAAGAAAAAATTTAGTCCTTGTCATCCGAGTACATACGATAACTCATATTCATTTCATATGTGTTGACTGTACTTCAATTTGAAATTTAATTAATAAAAAACTAATGAAATGTGAGATTAATGGAAGGATGACTTGACCTTCAAGAAAAAATTTAAACTTTCTATTATTTCAACTTCTAATTTTTGAACGAAATCTTTTATAGTGACAGAACGGATTAACTTCGTTTTGAATTTGATTAATAATTCCATTAACAACTGAGTTACAATTATGAAAGAAGTATGAATCCACGTATGTACAAGGGTGACAAAAACTAACTATCTTCTTGAAGATCAAGTAATTCATATATCAATTCCTTCGGTGTCTCCTTTCTGCTGTTCCAAGGTGGATCGTGTTAATCAACTCCGCAAGATAGATTGGATCTCGTCGATACACTCGGATTGTCAATACATTGTGCAAACAAAATGACCATCAAGAGTGCAAACCCTTCACATCATTAGATCTGCCCCTCACAATGCTCCCGTAACATTTGGCTTAAATGCACTACTTGGCAGAGCAGATTTTGCGTTATGTTTTGACATGATCGGATTTTCTCTTAGCTCTTTAGAGCCCCATTTTGCACAAATATAGTCGTGAGGCTAAGTGATACCATGGAAAGTACAAAACCCTAACCTTCAAGTTCAGATGCATGTACCACAACTGAGGTTCAGTTAACGTGTATAAAAGAAGTGTGAGCCTTTGTATTTACACAGGTGAAAAATACTAAATTTTTGCAAAATGCAATTTTTTTAAAGACCAAGTCATACATCCATCAATGCCTTGGATTTTTTTTTCTTTTTTGTTCCAAGGTGGGTTGTGTGGATCTCACCTATACATCCGATCGTTAATAAGTCGTGTGAACCAAATGACCAACAAGAGTTAAACCCTCTACATCATATAATGTGTGCCTCACAATGATCTTGTACCATTTGAATAAAGTGCACCACTTGGCTGATAAGATTATGCTATGTGTTGTGATATGATTGACTCTCTTTCAGCTCTTTAAGGCCCCACTTAGATTGCTAATTTTAAAATGATAATTTTTGGAAAAATTCAAAAAAAAGAAAAGTCTAACATGAATGATAGTGTGATAGTGAAAAAAGTTTGATGCCAAAAAACATACTTGATTGATTTGAAACAATTCATGTGTTATCAATTACACAAAGAGTAAGTAAATAAGATTATGAACAAAAAATTTAAGAAGAGTAATAGAATCAAGTTAGAAAAATAAAAAATATTTTTGCACAAAATATGTAAAAAAAGTATTCTATGTTTTGAAATTTAAAAGAATAACACAATAATTAACTTTCTCTTAGAAGAATTTTGATCTTCAAAAATTGAATAGATAATAATTATTTTTTTATCTTTAAAAATTCTAATATTAAATAAGAACTTGATTTCATATTTTGAATATTTCAACTTAATAAAAAAAATTAAATATAAAATTAAATTATAAATTTTTTCTGTAGAAGAATATATTTTATTAAATAAAAAATACATCATTCAAGATTCAATCTATATTTTTTAGAAATTTGAAAAAAATCAGCCAATAAAATTTATTTCAATGCATGAATATATTCATGAACTTTTTTTTACCAAGATACTTATATGATATATAAAAAAACACTTTTTTACTTAAAAATTGATGAAACAAATTTGTATCAATAATTTTTGTGTGAAGTATGGAAATGATATGTTCTTTACATTTAGATCAAGGCTTTGTCTAAACTTTGATACAATTTTGAGTTTTTGATTCATCTTTGCACTTCCTGTGACACATTAGCCACATTACACACGAACATGGAGAATGTTACCAAAGCAGTTGAAATCTATAGATTCAGGATTTCCACCAGTCTCCGCACTTATTCTTTATTACATATGACATCAGATTGATACTCCATCATCCAAGTCACTCGCCCACTTTGATCCTCAATAATTTTCATGATGAAGTAGTTCGTCCAGTCTTGCATGTAGATTAATGTTTCGAACATGGACATGAGTAACAAAATTACTGCTAGGGTTAGCATATGGTGGAATTGTGCTAAAGTCTTGAAGTGATCACTCCTAATCTCTTTGGGTGGATAGTTCAGTAGGGCTATTCTGTGAGAGGCACCAAATGATTGAACGTCTAGAGACTTCATCCATGATTTACAAGATGGCTGATGGTATGATCGTCCATCATTTCTCAATGCTACGGTAAACATTTAGAGTTTGAAGATTCCTTAAAGAAATAATAAAGGTATTTCTCTACAAATTTTATGAAATATTCTATGTATTTTGCCAAGTCAGGATGAAAAACAAAATTGGTTTATAATTGATTAATTTTTTCATAATCAAAATTACAATTTTTAATCCTAAAACCAAATCTATAACA